CATAAGTTCATAAATTTAATTTATAAAATATGTTAGGTATATCGCAAGACAATGGTTTAATCAGCAAATTAATAACATTCAGCAGCTTTTTACTGATATGCCGATTGCTGGCATTCAAATGTCTCAAAAAACTTAGATTAATGAAAAATATTTGTAAGTAAAATCTACGAGTAGCTATTTACGGTTCTACGAGTATTACCTATTATAACTTACAGTGCATACAAAATGCACTGTAAATTATAATAGGTTGCACAAGTAGGTGAATTTTACGAGTATTTATAGGTTCTACGAACATTCGTAAATTTACAATAATTTATAGGTCCTACGAATATTTGTAAGTAGTTCTACAATAAATTATTTGTTCTACGAATAATCGTAAGTTCAACACTAAGTTATAGGTTTTACGAATATTTGTAAAATTTACGAGTAATTACGAAATCTACGACTATGCAATATACAATATAGTATAGATTTCCTCCGATCTGCAAGAAAGCTGGTGATCCAATCGCATAATTTCTCGGGAAGCCCATAGGAAGGGAGCTTCGCAAGAATCGCTTTGTGCCAAACCCGATCGAAGGCCTTCGCAATGTCCAAACTAACGACCAATGCCTCCCCCTTGGACTCTACTGCCTCCGCCCATCTGTGAGTTAGGTAGACCAGAAGATCACCAGCTGACCGACCACGGCGAAAACTGTATTGGCGGTCACTAATCAGCTGGTGATCCTCAAAGTACCTCATGAGCTGGCAGTTTACAATGGACTCCATTGTTTTGGAGAACAAGGAGGTGACGGCGATAGGCCGGTAGTTGGACGGGTCTGAGCGGTCGCCTTTTTTAGGGATCGGGTGGACGAAAGCCGTCTTCCATGATTTTGGGACTACGCCTAGGGAGTAGGAGTACCGGAAAAGACGCGTTAAAACCGGTGCCAACTCTGGAGCACACGTCCTCAGCACAATTGGGGGGATTGCGTCAGGCCCACTCGACTTGTGAATGTCCAGGGAGAGGAGTGCTTTGCGAACCGAGCGCTGTGTGAACTGCACTTCCGGCATGGAGCACTCACACCGCGGGATGGTCGGCGGCGTACTCCCCCCGTCATCGAGAGTCGAGTTGGACGCAAAGAAAGAGCCTAGAAGATCGGCTTTCTCCTTTGCGGTATGGGCCAGTGAGTCGTCCTCCCTGTGCAGAGATGGAAGAGATGGTTGACAGAAATTCCCCTGGACAGCCTTGGCGAGAGAGACCAGAATGCACGGATTCCAGAAGGAAGGCGAACTAGTTTCTCGCCAATTCTGCCTCTGTGCTCTGACTTTGCCTTGGCAATGACTCTTTTGAAGGACCTAGAAGCGGAATTATACTTCTTTTTTTATAGCGCTGGTGTTTACATCCCGGGACGCTGAAGCGTCAGCCCAGGCTCGGTAGCACTCCTGCATATAGCATGATGCTATTTTACAGGAGCGACCAAACCATGGCTGAGATTTGCCTCCAATGGGCACCACAGAGGAAGGAATAAAAAGTTCCATACCCTGAAGTACCACATCAGCGACAGAATCCGCAACAACGTTGGGATCGTCCTGCGAGAAGCAAACCCGCCCCCAAGGGTAGGATGCAAAGAAAGACCGCATCCCATCCCAATCGGCTGACCTATAGTGCCAAACACGGCGGCAGTCTGCAGAATGCAACTTCGATTTCAGCGTGAGTGCTACCACACTCCGGACAAGACAATGGTCCGAGGAGCCTAAAGGGGCTTCGACGGAAATCTGATATCCGTCCGGGTGAGAGGTCAGCAGAAGGTCCAGAAGTGGATGATCCTCAACATCAATCCGCTAGGCGAAGTAACCAGTTGTGTCAGACCATATGCCAAGGCAAAATCATGAACAGATCTTCCCGCATGATTGGTTAAACGTGAACTAAGCCGTTCGGCGTGATGGACGTTAAAATCGCCGAGGATCACGACTACTGCGAAGGGGATCCGCCGTAGCAACGAATCTCTAGCCATTTGGACGTGGTCGAAGAGTCGGTCTGTTTGGGCATTACCGCTATGGGACCTGTAGAGGCACCCGTAGACGCGCGGATGGTCGTCGCTGTCTACGCGTAGCCAAAGGATGGACAGGCCCGAACCTTCAAGTCTGCCGAGGCGGGTAGGAGAGATACGAGACATCAGCCGGAGAGGACACCTGCGTCTCGGTCAGGAAGAGCAGAGCCGGCCTCGCCGTCTCGAAATGGTAGTGGACGGCGTTTAGTTTAGAGTAAAGTCTCCTGATGTTGCAGAAATTCACGGACAGCGTGGCAGGGGTCGCATTGGTCTTGTTGCTCCGTTTGCCCCGTGCAGTTGTAGTCTTGAGCGGAATTTTGCCCCCCTCCCCCAGAATACGCGGGACAGCCTGAGCACCCACGCTCAGAAGTGGAGAAACATGGTCGTGGATGCTCAGCGAGGGATTCTCCAGGGGTGCTGGTACCCTCATGGGGTAGTCTATCATTATTTAATTCCGCTACCATGTTGATGGGGGGGGGGGGGATTTGGGCCTCCGGCCACCTGCACTCACCAGACGAAACGCGGAAGCAGAGCTTCCACTTCACGCCGGTATTCTGTGAGGTCGTGGTACCACCCCGGTTTGAACCGGCTCATGTGTGCAACAGCAAAGCTGCCGCGTGGCTCTACCACTGTTAATGCTATAGACATTAAGAATGCGTTGACACTCCGGAGGACTATGATGGAAAGGGAAACGCTCCGTTATCATAGGTATGTAATTATTTCTTATATTTTATTTAAAGCATCGATAAAAGAGTATGTGGTTCTCACCCTACGAAACAACACTATTATGCATGTATTCTGTACAAATTGTTTGTCCGTATATATTAGTTGCAGCCTACATAATTTAATTTCCTCGATTGACCAAAATAGAAGTGGCGTTAATTGAACATGACACTAAGATTGGAAGTTCGCGACTATAAACTCAAACTTTTTATGGTTAAATTTGAATCTATACCATGTTAAATAAAACAATTTTTGACTTTTTTAGTTTAAATTCAAACTCGAGATTGTCTCGGAGTTCTTCACGAACTGACAAAGTTATCGTTTATAGTTAGCGGGATATACGCATACCTTCACACCTGTAATACCCTTTATTCGGGCCCCGCTTAGCTAATTAAATAGGTATATTATATAGAAAATTATAAGAGATATATGACTAGCCCATCGCGTATACAATGACAAACCCAATATTTTTTTATATAAGATAAGGTGACAAACGAGCACACAGTCCACCTGATGGTAAGTGGTTGCTGTGGTCCATAGACATCTACATCTTTCCTCGATTACGAATCAAAATGCAGATGCGCTATCACCCGTGAGGACTACATTACGTAACGATCACATTGAGTTATACAACACTAGAGGAACAAACCACATTACCGCGCGTCGAAAAACGTGTAACCACTATCCAAACGCGACGACGTAGCTTTGAAACTAATAACAATTTTAAGTAAACATATATCTATCTCACTTACACAAGTTGCGAAAACAATATCGTCGCTATTTTCGTTCGCGAGATTAGATAAAGATAGACACACAAACATGCAATGACGGATTGGTGTGGCTTACTATATGAAATTTTACCTAAAATACGCGATAAAAATGAGTTTTTTTAAGCTGCAGTTAATTGTTTTTATATTAAAAAAAGTATATTTTATTTTAAAATCTTTTTACGTCCCCTTAGAAAAAAAGAATACAATGATAAAATAAGCAATCAAAACTAAAAAAAGTCAAACAGGAACTCATGGCAAAGGCTTTGCCAAATTTTTTTTAATGTTAAGTTTCACCAATTTGAGCAGTCCCTGATGAATAACCACATTATATTTCTTATTAAAGCAGTCATGGAAAAATACATTAATTTAAGATTACACTATTTGACAAAAATGCCACCCCAGAAATATAAAAACGTCAATTGCTGCACAAATAGCTAACTACGATCCGACCCATTTGTGCTACAACTATGCTACTAATATAACTGCAGCACGGCTCTACCACGTATGAAATATCTCACTAGTCACAACAAGCTAGGCAAGTAACACAGTTGACACTTTCTTTTTTGTTCAAAATCCAACCTATGAAGTACCTGTCGAACTATTGATTACCCGTGTAGTGACGTTGTAAGTATATCCAATATTTCACGTCGTCCAACCAGGACATGTGCAGCAGTGTCTTCCTAATAATAACTAGAAAAAAATGAGTTTTCCAATCAACCTGCCAAGCGTGGTAACAATGGCAAAACCCTTCATCGGGCAATTTACAGGATCTACTGTTATGTTCTACAGTGGACTTTGATAAGCTGTAATTAATGAACCATTGAAATGTAATGTAGTAATGTCATCGAGACTAAATTTGCGCAGAACGGCATTATAGTGGCCAAGTGTATGCGCATGCACAGGTGCACTCTCCATTCTATAACTCTCATAGTCTGATGGGAAGGCAAGCCGACACAATGGGGAGAGAGACCAAGCGTAGGATCAACGGCTTTACGTGCTTTGCGAGGTCAACTTTATGACTCGGACTACTACTGATAATTTCATGACTGAAAAACCCAATAAATGGTTTTGGCCCAACCTGGCACATCATGCATCAGCAATCGCATTTACGACCACAGGACCAACGAGGCAAGTACAGAGCGATGTAATGCATATTAGACAATAGTTCATTGAGGCGGGATACGTTCGTACGTGGTAGAGCCATGCTGCAGCTATATTATGGTTGTAGCACAAATGAGTCAGCTTGACCTAGAAAAGACCACGTTCTCACAGAATACCAGTGGCATATAGTAGCTTAATGCTGCTGTGTTTATTATGTTGAGTATAGAGAACCGAGACCCTTTTATGCTGGAAACGAGTTAGAGTCCTCAGGGCTGACAAGATTTTAATTCTTAATCAAGGGTAGATGTAGATCTAGTATCTAGTATCTATGGGCGGACTGTGTGCTCGTTTGTAGTCACCCTTATCCTACAAAAAATACCTTCTGAAAACTTATTCTTGAGGTGCTGCGGCGTGCCGAGGCACTGGAAGCGGCCGTTGACCATGATGGTGAGGCGCGAGCAGAGCGCCTCGCACTCCTCCATGGTGTGCGAGGTGAGCACGAGCGCGCGGCCGGTGCGGCGCGCGTCCCGCACGGCGCGCCACACCTGCCGCTTGGCGGCCGGGTCCACGCCCGTCGTCGGCTCGTCCACGAACACGAGCCGCGTACGCCCCAGCAGTGCCACCGCGGTGCTCAGCTTGCGCTTGTTGCCGCCCGAGTACTGATCCACCTGCGAAGCACGTCTTATTCACACTTTACCATCTATCTCGGACTAATTTCCCACTACCCGCCAAAGACTACGTTTACTACTAGACCGGATGTTCAGAACGAAAACTGTCGCACAGCTGTGAATCGCGCAAAGCCAAAATGGTGACTTAAAAAATGTTGTCATTATTTATGTGCGCACTTTGCCAAAGTGAATTGAAGTTTATTTCGGGTATGTAACTTTATTTCGTATTTGCCTTAAAACTAACTGTCGTAAATGAGAATACAACTGCGTGATATAATTATTATGCTTTGCGTTGGTCACATTAAACAAAATCAGAGTGTTAGGTTGTTGAAAACAACTTTCGCGGCTTAACTAAATGAGTACCATAAGGTCGCAGATTCCGTGTAAACAAAAAATGCAGATGCGTTGCCACCCCTGAGGACTAAGATGAAATGCCTCGTTTCCAGTAAAAAGGGTCTCCGGTTCTCTACACTCACCATACGCAACACAGCAGCATTAAGGCACTATTTTTCGCTGGTATTTAGTGAGAGCGTGGTCAGTATTCTAGATACTATTAATATTTATTTTACATCTTTTCAAAATATTTTTCATCATGCTCTATACAAAGTTCCATTCGCCTAAACCAACTCTGAAAACACTTGCCAGTCTTGACCTGACAGGTCGGAACTCGCTTCTTCGTAGACAGCCACGACTTCTTCGGCGCTTGAAAAAACTTGCCTTTTATTTTTTCTTTGACTCTTGGGAATAAAAAGAAACCACAAAGAGCTAAGTCAAGGCTATAGGTTGGGTGCCTTAGAGTTTCAAGACCAGATTCCTCAACAAATGCTTTTGTTCTAAGGGAGGTACTTATGTGACGAGGCATTATCGTGGTGCAGCATGATTCCCCGTAGCCCGGACTATTGTCTTCTCTCCCGCACAGCTTGAAAACTTTGGGTAATGCAACTGTAGTACACCATTCACAGTTGACTGAGCTACAATTTTCCAGCATTGACGTCGACAAATGTCCGCTCCGCGAAAAAAACTAGCCACCATTTTCTTGTCGACGTTGCGAGGTCTTTGCAGTTTTGTCGGTAACTGTCCTCCTGTGTAGATCCATACCGATGATTGCCTTTTATTTTCCGGATCATATTGATACATTCATGTCTCGTCACCAATAAAGATTTCTGAAACACGCCTAGATGCCTTGTTTTCAAAACGTAGACGCATTTTATGGCACCAATCCACACGAGTCTGTTTTTCGCTTTCGCAGAGCAAACGAGGGATCTATCGACAACAAAGCTTCCTCACTCCAAGATGTTGATGTAGGATGGTATGAATGCTCCCCGAACTAATGCCTACAATCTTTTCGATGTCCGTATATGTGATTCGTGGGTCTTCTCGCACCAACATTTCAGTAGTCCATACATTTTCTGCCGTTACTGCTGTTTGTGGGGTCCCGGTTCTTTGCCCATCTTTAAGGTTAATGGAGCAAACCACCTAAAAATTGTTGCGCGTGATGGAGCTGAGTCTCCTTATGCTGATTGAAACCGTTGTAAACTTAAATGTTCGGTTAAACCAAATTTAAAATCATAATAGATCACTATATGATATAGATAGCTCGCAAATTTTCACGGTTAAGATCCATCGTTTTAAATAAAAAGCGCGGGAGCCGTTGCAGGAAAATTTATAGAACTTTGTTTTTTGTTTAATATTGAGCTATTGGCTTATGGAGTTCTATTTTTAAATATACTTCAAAAAAACATATAACACTGGTGCGTTCCATTTTTAAATTTCGAGCATCGTAAAACTTATTGAGAAACCTACGTAGTCGAGCTTTTAACAATTGCTATATTTTCAGTTGAAAATGTTGACTTGAGTCCGAAATCTTTCTTTTATTCACAGTTTAAAGTAGCGTTCTCAACAAATTCGTCAGTCTGTTCCACGATCTCTTTATTTATTTCTGTTAAAGCAGCTGGTCGCGCCGAAGAACACCCTCGCATTTTGTTTTGTTATTAATGTTAGTCGGTATAACCTCTCCTTACTTCCGTTCCCTTCCCGCACGGGCCTGCCTAATGGGGAGCTACATTGGTGGCCTCATTTTCTTCCTCCAATGAGAGGCACGCTCCGCAAAAGTGAAAGGAGGGCAGCATGCCGCCGGTGCGCAGCGGCAGTGGCAGTCGAGCTACAGAACAGTACAAACTTTCGTCGTGACCACTTGCCATAGTGCAAATACAATTCGACGTGGCGTTCAAATAGTCAACTCCAGTGCATTTTTTCGACGCGCACCGCCGCAGTTGCAACACAGTTTTCGTCGCCTTATGGCCTTAGAGGGAAGCCGTTAGCAGCAACCCCAGGTAAGTGCCTGTTAATTGATCTTGAGCTGTTTTTAGTTTGTTGTTCCCTTTTCCACAGCAGCTCATGTTTCCATCGTGCCGTCTAACGTATTAAATCGAATTTATAGCAAATATGTTGTCCATTGGCCGCCACGTGCCACGTCCGCCATTTTGTTTTGGTTCATAACGAGCCACGCTGATCTACCTAGTTGTTCAACTCGTAATACCTTTAGTCATTCGCGCACCCATATTATTAATGTTGTCATTTGCATGCGTCCACTGTATCCAGATTTTTAATTTAGTTATGAGTGTTTTCTTGTCGTGGGTTGACGGATTCGGTCATGGATATTGATGAAGATATTATTATTATTATTAGCTGCTTGTTTGCAGATTAAGAAGTTTTTGTTAAGAATAAAGTTCATGAAACAAATTTGAAGCGACCAATATTTGAAGAGTATCATGCATTATTTGTTCCCGATTTACTTCATTATGAAAAACGATTTTTTAATTACATTCATATGTCAAGAGCTAAATTCATAAATCCTGTTGTTGCCAATTTAATCTCTACTCTGTTGACAATTTTAAAAATATCTGCTTTTATATTAACTAGCTCATGTATAGAAAATATTTTAACAGTTTTAGCCATCGTTAAAAAAACCTGTTAGAGGATCCAAATTGGAATTTCGCACTCTGTAGGACGTGCAGTTGTTTGTTGTCGTTCTCTTGTCGATAAATATTGTTTAAGTACAGATGCAGCAGTTTCATTATTAGAAGAACGATTTCTAAACGATGATGTCTTAGTATTAATATTTTCGGAGATAAATGTCGTAAAAATTTGTGGTTCTCATGTGACCTCTGCCCATTTGATAAGAAGACACCATGCGAGGGCACCAGGAAACGATGCAGATACTGCAGTACAATATAAAACCCACAGAGATCATGTGCGAAATATCAATTTAATGTGCCAAATGTTTCAATTTCTGTGCAGCACCTATTTTATAGAATTGACCCCAATAATATAAACATAAACATTTTTCTAGGTTCGCGCGTTGTTTTGTTATGTCAGTGAATGATTTAATATGATGTAGTCTAACCCTTAATAGATGTTTAGATGACTTTCCGGACACTGGTAACATACGAACCACATTATTTTTGTGCAATGGGCAGTGGCTTTTTTTATAGAATTAGGGTGAAAAATGAGCACACAGTCCATCTGATGATAAGTGGATGCTGTGGCACATAGACCTACATTTAATCTCGATTAAGAATCAAAATGTAGATGCGTTGTCACGCCTAAGGACTAAGATGGAATTTCTCAATTCTAGTAAAACGAGTCTCCGGTTCTCTACACTCACCATACGAAACACAGCAATATCAAGCTGCTATTTTACGCTGGTATTCTGTGAGAGCGTAGTCCTTCTCCGGTCGAGCCGACCCTTTCGTGCTGCCACCATAATATAGCTGCAGCGTGGCTCTACCACGTATAACGTGGCTATATAGTGACCACAAGGATTTTTAGGACTAGGCAAACAGAAAAAAATCATATTATTTTTATATCCTTATATTCTACCAAACTCAACACTCAAAAGAAAAAAAACCGCTGGGCCTGACTAAGGGTTAAGTAAAACAATAAAACACGTGTGGCAGTAGGTGATGCCATCGGCGAACTGATTTGTGTGACTTCACCGGCACGCAACGCATTTTTTGCTCATGAATTTTCGCCTACGTTCGGTACGGATGGCGCGGATAGTAGGCACAGCGCTATTTGAAATCATACAAAGCAAACTAAAATTCGTTGCGTGCTGTGCGTGCGTTGAGTTCGGCGCGGGTCAGTGGACGCGTAACTTTAAAGCACTTTACGCAAAATGAGACATGTTGTTTTCTCGTATGCAGAATATTTGTAATCACACAAAAACTATTTACTTATAGTCGGTTCAGGAGTCATTTTTGTGAAATAGAAACTATAGATTCGTTGCGCTTAGATTATGAAAATTTGTTGGACAAAATTAATAGTCTTGAACTGCAAATTGATCCCGATTATGTGGTGAATTACCAATCACTTATGTCGTTCGAAGATTTATTATGCCGTGTAAATTGAGCTGCTAGACGTCTCCAACCTGTAGCTCAGATTGACGTAAAGCCAGCAGTTCAAGTACACTCACGCGATGCACTTACATTGCCACCTATCGATATCCCAATATTTAATGGTGATATTTAAACTTGGCCGTTATTTATTGCTATTTAATCCCTCTTTATCGGATGCTGAAAAATTATCTTATTTAATTGGCAAGCTAAGTAACAACCGCAATCTGTATGGGTGTATGGCCGGTTTCACTACGGCCGCAACCGAAAATTTGTTTTACGGGGTCTAATAAACCGTCCTCGTTTATTAGACCAATCTCAATTTTACATAATACAGTGGCAAGCTCCTCAAATGTCAAAATAGTTTCGCCAATAACGCGACGGAGATGCGTTTTTGCAACCTTAACCACCGCCTCAAAAATACCGCCTCAGTGTGGGCAAGCCGGAGAGTCGAATTTCCACTGGATGTCCTTCTTGGACATCGCAGTACCTAAATAAGTCCTGTTGCTGGACAGAAATTCGAAGACCTCCTTCAAATATCTATCCGTGCCCTTATAATTCGTTCCGCAATCAGACCGGATCAGGTCCGGCAAACCGCGACGCGAT